GGCCAAGCTGCGAGACCAGTACCTGGAGGGGAAGCCAGGCACTGGCTGAGGCGATGGGCTCCATTCAGGAGGCTCAGGAGGCGAACAAGCGCACCCAGGACACCAACCAGGCATGGATGCTTAACCACACTCTCAAGCCCTTGGAAGTGTCGGCGTGGCCAGATGATCTCAGGCAGGCACTGGAGAGGGGGCTGTTCTGCCCCCTGGAGCTGGATGACCCCGAGGACATCCCCAACGTGGGAGACATCAAGGAGAAGTATGTCCCCTACATCAGGAGGCTCAGAGAGTCGCAGAACCCATGGAACCAGGAGGCGCTGCTGGAGGAGATGCCCGATCTGGCGACACCGGCCCCCTGCCACTGGCCCCGGGAAGGACCAGCCAATGCCACAGCAGGACCTGGACTCGGAGGAGGGCAAGCTGTCCCTGCTCCTCTGGGCGATGAAGAGGCACCAAGGTGAGCTACGGATGTTTGGGGGGATCTGGAAGAAGCACTCCAGCGGTGAGATCCCCAAGGGCGCGGACCAGCAATTCAAGCTCACGCCGGAGGAGCTTCTGGCCCTGGAGCGCAGGACCCACCCACTCACGTGCGAGCAGGACCACATCGACCCTGTCATCTACTCGGCCTTGGAGATCCGAGCGCAGGTGAACCGGGGCGAGCGCCCGGCGCCGGAGCAGGTGGTGGGGATCTTCTGGGCGAAGGGCGATGGAGTGTTTTGGACCAGGCAGACGAGAACATGGGACCTGCCGAGCCTGACGGGGGTGTACGCCCACCGGTTCACCTTCAAGTACATCTACTCGGCCTGGACCACCTTCCCACTGATCGTGAAGACGCAGCGCCGGGGCCGCAATGCGGAGGGCTCGGCCTCGGACAAGTGGATGGGCAACATCCTCCAGATGAGGAAGGAGGCGGTGCCCTTCCTGGAAAGCCTGGGAATCCCCAAGCCGCGCAGCAAGGCGGAATGGAGCTACATCTTCAAGGAGATGGGGACGTTTCTGGCGGCCAAGAATTTCATCGTTAACTGCCCGTTGCCGGTGATGGAGATCCCAGTGGCCCCCGTCCACGACAGCAAGGAGGCTCTGCGTTTCAGGGCGGTCTGCGACGAGCGAATCACCCTCCCGCTGTCATCGCTGAGGGCTTTCGACTCGGTATACACCAAGCTGGTGTCTGGCCTGAGTAAGTCCTCCATGGTTGAGGTGAAGGTCAACTGGCGTTGCAACGTGGTCCATGACTGGGTGGAGCAGGTCCCGCAGAAGGCGGCGGGGGCCCTGTACGACCGGTTGGGCTACTCCCAGGACCTCATCCGGCAGCTGGGTTGCTCCCCTTGCTTGGGTGCCTCTGGCCCCGGGGGAGGAGCGGCCAAGGAATCGGACCCCAAGGCCAAGATTCTGGGGGGGGCGGACACCACGCTCCGCACACCGGACCAGGGCACCAGGCGGTACCCTCCTATCACCACGTCCACGGTCACGGCGGTCGCGGGCCGGAAGTACATCAACAAGCACTTCCCGAAGGAGACGAAGCACGTGTTTTGGGCCGCCGTGGAGTGCGGCCTGGTCCTGCCCAGCATCAGCAGTGGTGGGCAAGGAGAAGTTCAAGACCACCGGGGGCTACATGTGCAGGTTTTGCAAGGGCTTCTGGAGGGCGAGCCGCTGGGGGACCAGGCTGCTCCAGATCACGGGGTGGCACAAAGACAAGGCCACATGCTTGCAGCTGGTGATGGACGAGCCCCCGGAGCAGCTATATAATCAGTGGATCCGGGACAGGATGGAGTTCTACAAGAGGGTGGAGCCGACGGAGCCTCCCAGGGACGAGCGGCTAGTCCTTGGCGACGCGAGCACCCCGCGCATGCGCTTCAGCTCCTCGAATGGCCTGGGGGATGTCTCCACTGCCTTGCGGTCGGTCATTTTGAGCAACCCGGAGAAGTCAGGGCTGGCGGCCATCCACTCGGTGGCTAAGGAGGCGATCTTGAAGGGTGAGAGCCGCCAGGTCGTGTCTCACAGCCTTTTTGGATGTGGAGTCGTGAGATCTCTTCCCACCGGGACTTGGGTGCCTCTGGCCCCGTCTCGGGTGGGGGGAGGAGTTAGGGTGTCTCCTTTTTGGGTTCATCTTTCACCTGGGTTTCCCCCCTGTTCAACGAGTCACGACTGCCGGTTTGCCTCGATCGGGAGGCTGCACGCTTTGGCTGCCCCAAGGACGGGCCATATCGGCCACAGTTTGTGAGAAAGTGGCGGCGGCTGACTCTGGGTTCCCTGAGGTCCCCTTGGGGGTTTTGGGGAATCCCCCGCCGGGTTGGTCTTCCCCCCTCCGTGGTCCTTTTTGGGGATTTCCGGGGTTGACTTTTGGGTCCTGTTGGGCTGCATGTGGCCTGCCTGCCCCTTTTGGCACTCGGCATCCTGAGGGGTTGGAACATGCGTGCAGTGTGCCGCGGTTGGGTCCCGGCCGTTCGATAGGAGGCTCGAACCCCCGTTTTCATCATGGCTCGGGTCTCTACAAAGTTTCTTTTGCGCCCGCCTTACACTCGTCTTTGGGACCGCATTCCAAGGGTCCTGTGGGACACGTTGGCGGATGAGTCCTTCTCCCCGAGACAGACGGACGGGGAGCTGCTGGTCCTGATGTGCCTGCGCCATGGCACTGCGGGCGGGGAGCCGGCCATCCGCTTCGCTCAGCTCCTGGAATTCCGGTGGGCCAAGATGACCAAGTGGTACCAACGGACTACTTCAACGGCCTGGTGGCGTCGGCGGCGGGCAGGCTTCCCTAGCCTTTGTCCGCGGCGGACCTGGCCGACCCTTTGGGATAGCCTATGGTTCCTCCTCATGGCGGCTGCGGATGGCAAGCCGAGCGAGAACTTTTCCTCGCTGGAGAACGAATGGGACCGCCAGGACCAACTGAGGTGGTTCTCGCGAGATGACCCACCCCCACTCCAACAGCCGGAGCTTCTGAAGTGGAGGCACTGGCGCTCTCTCCTCAACCAGCTCGCCGATGAGGAGGTCACCCCGTGCAAGTTGCGGCAGGTGTGGAACACCCTCAAGTGGTTCTCAAAGACCTTCGGATTGCTGAAGATAGATGAGCTCCATCGCCTCAAGTCCAAGAAGAGCTCATTGGAAGAGGCGCTCACGGACACGGTCACCAGGCCACAACGTAAGGCGGTGGTCCCCAGCAAAGAGGTCATTTGGGCTCTGGAGGAGGGGGCCGGCTACGATCGCCTGGGTGCCACCAGCCCCGGCACGCAGGAGGCCCCGGGAAAGAGCAGACACGAGGTGCTGGACGCTTTCATCCTGGGTTTCGCCCGGTTCCAGGTTGGCTGCAGCGCTCGCTTCAATGACCTCCAGCACGTTCACCCCAAGGACCTTATCCACACCAGCAACACTGTGGAGCTGAAGGCCTGGCAGACCAAGACGGTCTCTGCAGCACGAATCAATCGCAACCCGGTCCCCTTGATTGCTCCGAAGTACAGCTTCACGGGGATCCCCTGGTGGACTACCTGGGTGGCCTCGGTAAGGCGGTTGGTATCCGAGGAGGC